TCTTTTTATCCAGTTTGAACCTCGATGACCAAGCAAAAAACTAAAATTTCACACCTCTACCGGATAGTCGAAAAACTCTATAGACGTTGCAAGCCCTGGCCAGAGAGGTATAATCAGAAGGAAAAAGAAGAAAAAGAAACAAATTACTGTTTAAAACTAACTCGATACTGTTGGTTCTCAGTGAAATTTCAATATGCTTCAGCACTTCAGTTGAAGTTTCTTCTCCAAGGATTTTTTTCCTCTATAAATCAATAAACAGATTACGTTCTAAAAACTGGCCATATTTCAACCTTGAATAATGAGAAAAATGACGGCATTAATCATATAGTCCTTAAAAACTATTGTGGAATTGAGAAATCGCTAACTTTTAAGTCCAAAAAAACTACCTTCTTTGACGCCTTTTTATCAAGGTACAGGGAAAGTTTCTCCAAATAAACGCTGGGATCAGTCACTGCGTGCATTTTGCGCTAAAATACAATTGATGTAGAATTTGAAAAAACAAACCTTAAATCAAACTTTGGTAATCTAATAAAAAAATCACTGTATAAAAATATAGTTAGAAGGTATTCAAGGAATAAACCTGATCTTTAACCAGATCCCACTTTTTTGACAAATCATAATTCCTGAGCACTCTCATTTTATCCGGTGGTAAATCCATTTTGTTCTGTAAAAAACACTGTGAGTGTAATGTTTCAACGGCAAAAACTCTTCTTAAGGAATAAAAAATGTTTACAGGGTTGTGAAAAAAATATATATATGTGTACATATATATAGAAAAATTACTAAAATAAAATTATAGAGAGGCTAAACGTTTAACTTGTCACTAAACAAATTTACTAGTACTTCAAACTGTAACATCACAACTACGAATAATCTGACCAGACTAATAAAGCACTTTCAGAACACTTCAAAAAACCGAAGTCCTTTTAAAAAGCTCACAATACAAAAGTTGTTCAAAAGAAGTGAAATGAAAAAAATAAAAAACACTAAAACGAACCAAAACATCTTCAAATGCTTCAAGAACCTCTGACTCTACGGGCATTCTAGCTGGAGCAGATGGAGTTGACACTAGCGACGAACCACGTTCCAACGTCATGTTCAGGTCTTCAGGCCGCCTATAGGATGGAGACAACGAGTAACGCCGTGTAAGGTTTTTGCCACCACGAAAACTACACCTCGCTAGAAAAGTGAACAAGACAAATAAGTTTTCATGTTTAAGAAATCAAAAAAAAACCCACCCAAATGCCAAAAACAACTTTTCTTTAAAGAATCACTTGCAAAAAAAAGATGTCGAAAAAGTGACATCAGAAGCTGTTTCCAGATGAGGTAAGTGTCAAATTTTCCTGAATAATTCTATACAAAAATGGTTACCAGTGAAATATCTTAAATTAACGAATGATGCAAACAATAAATTATTAATCATTAATCAACGTCTGAATGCAATTCATCAAACTGGTGAAATTCACCAATAATTAACCATAATGAAAACCTCTAATTATCCTCAAGTAACAAGAAAAATGAGGGTAGGATTACTCCTACGACTGACTGATCAATTCGGAAACGTGCTAAAAGTCATCATGAATACAGTCAACGAAAAAGAACTTTGCTTTTCTTTCCCACAATGTCCTAACATCTGCAAATTCTAGCGTAAAACCTTATGGTTCCTCTCTCTTCTTTTTTTTCAACAATTCGAATAAAAAACGAGAGGAAGAATGTCACACTAACAAAAAAACAAACTTCACTAGCAGAACCATTGGGTGAGAAGAATAAAAACAAAATTGGGTTATTTGTTGCTGTGACTTGTGAAACTAACAAAAACAAACAGCTGACGTTCGGGAAAATCGATTAAGAAAACAAAAAAAGTTTTCTCAGTAGTTTCAAAATAGTATTGAAATTCCAAAAACGTATTAAGTATTAATCAACCAGAGTTCCTAATTATCAAAAAATAAAGTAAATTTAATTTCAGACACTAAATAAAAATAAAAAATTTGACGATCCGACAGCAGAAGCATCCAATTTTTCAGCGTTCTTCAATGTTATTTACTTTTATTTGTTCAATGCCGAATTTCCATTTTTTTTTTCCTATAACAACTTAAATACAACGGGAAAGACACTTTGTCTTTTCTTTGTTAGTTAATCTTTTGAAAACTATCTAAATATATCTCTCTCCTTCCTCCAAAAGAAAAAAAACTATTCAAGAATACAAAAAAAAGTAACACTTCCAGACAGCAGCAGTCCACTATAAAAATTACACAGAAAGAAAAAGTTCAGCTATTTTGAAAAGAAAAATTTTGACTTTTAAAGATAAATTACGAGTTCTGTAACAGTTTTCAGGTGGTGCGTTTAGATGACAACTGTTACAGAATAAGAAATGCTAAAAGTCAGCAGACCAGTGAGTGCAAATACCACCATTTGGAAGTTGGCAACCAAATACCTTTAGCTTATTGTTACACTTAAA